TGTGCGCCGCCAGAGTAAGCTCCATGCTCATTGATATGTGACCGTGATACCCATTCATGTACTCAGTAGCTGTAGCATTTTGTTCCATACAAACACACTACTTTCAAAAAACTGGCTGAGATAGGTATGTTGCAAACAAGCCAAAAATCCTCAGCACAAGGATGATGTGGAATCGAACTTGAGACAGAGATGAAAGACTTCATCCTCTTATCAAGACATTCAAGTCTCCCTCTCTACCAAACCTAAATCTACATGTTTTTATGGGAACTTTTAAGAAGTTACCTGCAATTTCTCTACTCATGCTCTGAAAAATCAGTTAGCTAATTATCTAAGAAGCATATCATTCTACAAGCCAGCAAGCAGCAGGAAACACAATCACTTGGGTGAACTACATATCTCATGAAGCAAATGAAGAATACAAACAGTACACAGGAGCAAGTCCTATTTTATTTAAGTATTAGTAGAATGTCTCTATGTTAGAAGGCGTACAGCTCTTCAAGAAAACAGCAGAGAACATATTATTTGCTTAACCAATTAATCTGAATAGTCTCTCACCTTGACAAACATGACCACACATTTGCCTAAAATTTTGCTAACAGGAACTTTATTGTAATAGTCACTTTTAAAAACTTCTTTCTCCAGGAATTTTCGTGTTGCGAGATGAAATGTTTCATTTGGTCGGTAAAACCAACAGCCGTAGAGCCATTTCTCTCCTTTAAATAAAGGGAAAAAAAGAAAAGAAAGAAAGAAAAAATGTAAAATGGCATAGTCTCTAGAGCATGAGCAAGAAAAAATAACTATAGATCAACTGATTAATCAAATAGCCATGTAGCCATCTATACTGAGAGTAAACTCTTTTAAAAGGACAAGATTCCTTAACTGTTTCAGGTAAGGAAAACACTGCTGCTTAAAAAGCCTGTCAATTGTTTTTTCCCAGTAAAACCTGACTCAGCAAAATAAAGGAGGAATTAGTTCTTATTTATAAACCTTGACTTTTAGGCCTCGAAATGGCTTCAAAGTCTACACAACAATCACCCGATTATTTGAAGAACCTTGGATAACTTGTTTCAAGCTTTTTAGGATCTATTTCTTCCATGTTACGCTGTGGCAAATTCAAATTGTTAACAATGATTTATAAAGAAGTTATAAATATGTACTATTTTTCTAAATCAAAGAAAGTCTGTAATCTGTAGACTGAATCAGAATAAAAAGTGCTATTCACTTTCTCCATCACAGACAAATGAACATAATTCTTATGTCCAACTGGCCAATGGTCCATCTACCCAAATACACTGCATCCAACTCAGTGAGCAGGACAGGCTACTAGGAGAATGCATTTGATCTTGGTCACTCTCCATAACGTATTCCAATCCTTCCACGGTTATTGGATTAGGGGTGTCAGACAGCTATTCTCTTTATCTGGCTATAATTTGCTTGTTATTCCCTTTACTATTTTGTTTAGAACTGTTGTACATGGACCTGTCTCACTCATTTTTGAACCGGCTGATACAATCTGCCTCGACAAGATCCTGGGGAAGCCAGGAGGCTCACCACCCACTCTAATAAAAAGCCGCATTTTCACGTGTTTTAATCTGATTTCTTAATGTCAAGGAGTGCCCTCGAACTCTAGTACTGCTGGATTTGTTGAACAGTATTTCTGCATTCACCTTATCTACCCGCTTCATGATTTTGCAAACTTTAATTATACCTTGCCTTACATTTCTCCTCTCCAAATTTAAGAGTCATGGTCTTTTTAATCTGTCCTTGTAACACATCCATTCCATCCCTTTTAAAAAAAGTGCAACCAAAATGATTAACTCCACTATACCCCACTGTAATTCTCAGCAACTGTAGTTTCTAGGACTGCTGAGAGTGCACCGTGCTTATCTGATACTCCTGCCATATCTCTAGCCTTCCTTACACTTAAGAAAAGTACCTGCTGCAAACAGAAGTCATCACTGATGAGAAAAAACAAAATGGTACTTATTATAGCTTGATTTGGCCTAGGAAATGTAAGATGCAGCTCAATTCTGAAATTTAACAAAGGCAAGTTCTGAAACTGAGTTGTTCTGTGGAACATTTACAGTTAAAAATGCCCAACTTTGGTTCAGATTTTTCAGCACAGAAAAACCCCATGTGTTCTTCTATGCCTGAATTACAAGGAGCCCATCCCACTTAGAAGAGCCTGTTCTCTGGGTTGTTTACAATTTGAGGGTAGGTAGAGATGAACAACAAAGAAGCATGTGCTGATCCAAGAACTTTGTAATATTCTTTGGAACAAAGCAACTCAGAAATAAGAAAAATACTCACCAGGCCCCACAAACTTCTGCAAATAAAATAAATAACACCCACACAGAAAAAGCTCAAATTGGAAGTTTTAAATAGTAATAATAATAAGTTCCACCACATTGTTTTCCTCTAGCAAAGATATCCTTACCAGCTGAATCTTCCCACAGCCTCTCAATACAGACTATATGAGGTTGCAAGTTGGTTTCAGCAGGCTCCACATACACATAATCTCCTACGTGGTACATGCTGTTCTTGAAGCTGCAATCCTGGCTGTAAGTCCTATGCAAGCTTGACAGCCCAGCTGATCCAGAAGAATCTTCACTCTTTTCAGCTTCTTATTTCAACAAGGGAAAAACAGATGTTAGTAATGCCACATTTCCACATTAGCCAAGATTACTGATATGAATGCCCTCAGCCTTTGCTGAGTGCAGGAGTGCCACATGATACCTGATGTGTACCTCTGTCATTGACTTCCAGTGTGAAGGAAGTGTTTTGTGCTGCTAGCCTTTGCTACTGGTGCTGCTGAAGGCTGGGCTTCCCTTTTTCAGTTGAATTTTATTGAACTCTCGCAATAAGTGAAGAGGAACCCAATGACAGCAGGGAGCTCAAAAGCCTTCAGAAAGGCACATTTTGCTTTCTTTGGGGTTTTTAGCTCTCAAAGAAAGATAGAAAAAGAGCATCACAACTGTTGTCTCCTTATAATACTGAGCCTGGTTGGAGCAACCAAACTTTACTGCTGCTGACATCAGTGCTATGTGGGAAGATGAACAATGTTAGAAAGACAATTCGTGGACAAAGAGCTAACAGCTCTGCTCTCATCTGTGGAAAGCAGCAATTAGAGAGCTTTATTCATTCCCCTAGACATGCTCCACAACGATCATATGGACAGTAACAGCCAGGAACTGTGAAACACAAAGGATCTTCACAATAAGTTTCTTGCTCTACAAAATAGTGCAAGCCAATTCCTCTTCACACTCACAGTAGCCAAATAAGAAATGCAATACGTTTACTTAAATACCATGTCTTTAGCAGTGTTAAAAGCATGGTCATAGACAACACCATCAGCACATCAAGAAACCAGTATTTGTCAAAAAGGAAACAACTAAAAGGTCAACTGGAACAGTCACTGCTAAGTTTATTATCAGCAGAAAGCTATAGTAAAAACCGAATGTTTTCTTTTAGAATATCCTTGAAATAGGACTACTGGTACCCCAATGTGTTCTGATCAAAGAGCTTGTATAAGGTTAGTATTTACCCACTTCTCTTTCTTAAAAGCCATCTGGCCTGGCTGATAAGGATCAAAAAAAATTAAATCCCTCATAACTTTAAACTACAAGACCCTTGGTGGACAACCGTACTATTAAGGTCCCTTCAGTAGGTGAAGCTGCAGCAATAGCAGAGCATACATCACGCGCACAGGTACATTTTTCAATTAATACATTTAAAATTAACAAAAAGAAAGTAGCTACCTCTCTTCTCTTCCTCTCTTTTGAGCTTATCCTCCTCGATTTCTTTGGGCAGCTTTTCCTTCTTTTCCTTTTCTACATCGTTGTGAAGATGCTTGGTGGTATAGCTGAGAGCAGGTGACAGAAGAATCTCTCCATTCTTACAAAGTTCATCTCGAATTTTAATAAAGAACTGCTGAAGTTCAACCGCATCCTCGTAAATCTCTGAATCAGTCCTGTACAAAAATACATGCAACAGGGCAGAAACATAGTTTGTGCAGAGTCAACCAGGATCCTAAACATATATCCATCAATTGCCACCCTTAGTGATAAAACTAAAGCTTCACTCTACCAATAGATTTCTGTGCTTACTCATAACAAGCAGCAGCAGACACTGTCAAATCATGCTGCACCTGCTACTCTGCTGTCGGTTTGTATTATAGTTTACCCAAACCAGTATTTTTGTATACACCAGTCCTGAAACACCAGAAAAATCAAAGGTAACTAGCTGCAACCAAATCTACTTGCCACTGATCCTCTACAATCTATGAACTTCTGAAAACTTAAGTAATAACAGTATTATTAACAAAATTGACTAATTTTAATTACCTATACTCCTGTTAGTAGATGTTTTAATATCACTTTTTACCTCCTCTCCTTCAGAGTCAAGATCTCACCTGCACTTCCCCAAGTACCCTACCTAATTCAAGTAAAACACTGCAAGAAGTTCCAAGTGTTCATAGTTTTTGCACAATATTACCGTAACTCATAGAACTGTGATTGCTCCAAAAGATTAATCCACTAGTCAAGCAGTTAGTGAACAGCTCCTCCTCTTTGTTTTTTTTAATTTGAAAGTTAGCACGAATCTGGTTTTCATGAGGTGTGCCTTCGGAAGGTTAACGTCAAAATTATCTCATGGCAGAAACCTAACTTTTTCCTTGTTTTTAAACAAAAGCATACATTCCACTGAAGACCTGATAGAGCTTTTGAGATTTAGTTTTCTAAACACCCATATCAAGGAAAGCAAACACCTTAAAACACCTTCAGCCTTTGTCTAACATTAACATGCAAAATCCACGTGATAAGACAAAGGATACCTGAAAAATATGGCTTCACTTACCTGTTCATTCTCCTTGCCCTCTCCAGTACCTCAAACATATTCTCCTGGAACAAGTCCAATCTTCTATAGCGATTATTTTCAACATTTTTTCGGATAATATCAAAAGTCAGAGGAGGTTTATTTGGGAAGTTAGGATCAACAGCAGGAATCTCAGCTAAGGAGTCGCTGTAGCATCTGCCCTCATCATCCTGGTGGCTCATAACAGATACGAAAAGGTTATGGATAAGTTCCTGAATTAGCAAAGTGACATTGGGCACATGAGAATCCTCATCTCCTTCTATTTCTCTTCGAGTTTCAAGCAAAACTTTATGCAGGACCAGTGCATCTTTATAAATCAAAGATTCTGGCTCATTATACGTGCAAGCATTATTGAACATCATTACAAAGTCCTCTACCATGGAATCAATATCCTGGTATTTATTTGCCATCATATGACTTCTGATCTTTTCCATGTCAACAGGCTTTTTAATGGTTACATAATAGTCAGGAAGTTCAGACCGAGATGGCAGTCTCAAGAAGATGGCACTCAGTCGCCTGCCTCGTTTATCTGTGTAATTCTTAACTGCTTCATACACCTCATTCAATTTCTGTTGCATTGGAGTCATGTATTTTGATTTTTTAGGAGAAATGCCACTTTTCCTACCTAAGCAGACAAAAAGGAAAAAAAAAAAAGAGAAAAAAAATCATTACAAAACAAGAGCTTGCACACTTCTTGTTCCATCTCCCTTCCATTGGAGAATTGCTTAGTGAAGAACCACTTCATGGTACGAGCAGAAGACTCACAACATGGAGCCCATTCCATGTTCAGCTTCCCTTACTTTTCATAACTGTATGAATATTTTTTTTTTTCCAAATGTTACTTTTGGCAAACAGAGAATCATATGTTACTATGTGGTCCACCTGGCAAAGGTCTCTTCAGACTTAAGCATGGAAAACATCTTTTCTTACCTAACGTTATTAGTAACTCATCTAAATTCAATTTAGTCTTACTAACTCTACATGAATATCTCTCTACAGTTGTTAAAAATCCAGTCATCATGGGGTTTTTGCTATCACTAAAATTAAGCATTCTAAATATTACCAGATTCCTTTATGACAGGTTTATGCCAAATTACAGAATCACGGAATCGATTTGGTTGG